CTTGAATCAAACTGCAGTCCTGGAGCCCTCTTGGATAAGATCTGGAGTTTGGTTCTTATTCTTTATGATATCTATCTCTGTTAGATTTCTCATTCATGTCATGAATTGTTTTAATGATTTCGTTGAATTGTCTGTTTGTGTTCTCTTGTTTCTCACTGAGTTTTCTTAAGAGCATTAATTTGAATTCCTTTTCCAGCAGTTTGTAGATTTCCTTTTCTTTGGGGCCTTTCAGTGGAGTGCTATTGTGTACCTTTGGTGGTGTCATATTTCCTTGCTTTTTCACGCTTTTTGTGTCCCTATGTTGATTTCTGTGCAACTGGTGGAAAAACTGCCTCTTGCAAAGCTTATAGAGTAGTTTTCACAGACAGTCTTTCTCCTCTAGATGGATCTAAATGTGCTGGTTGGAAGAGTGTGGTGATTCTGGTTCCATGTAGATGCAGTAGTGTGGTGTCTGAGCAGCTTCATCAGTTGTGACTGGTGTCATCAATAACTGTGGGTATCTGAGGATGGATGGACAGATGGATGGATGGATAGTTGGAGCACAGAGGATTTTTAGGCATGAAACTGTTTTGGGTGATACTGTAAGGGTGAATATATGACATTATGCATTTGGCAAAACCCATAGAACTGTGCAACAGAAAGAGGAAACCCTAATGTAAAATTTAGTTAATAATGTATCAATATTGGTTCATAATTATAACAAATGTAGCACACTAATGTAAGATGTTAATAATAGGAGAAACTGTTGGGGGGAGGTCAGGTATGTGAACTGTCTACTTTCTACTCAATTTTGCTGTTAACCAAAGATCGCTATAAAAATAGTCTATTACCAAAAAAAAAAAAAAAAAAAAAAAAAAAAGTAAAATTTAGTTAATAATGTATCAATATTGGTTCATAATTATAACAAATGTAGCACACTAATGTAAGATGTTAATAATAGGAGAAACTGTTGGGGGGAGGTCAGGTATGTGAACTGTCTACTTTCTACTCAATTTTGCTTTTAACCAAAGATCGCTATAAAAATAGTCTATTAACAAAAAAAAAAAAAAAAAAAAAATCAAAACCTGGAGTCTGGAGCTAGACCAAAGTATGGATTCTAGGTGCTGACTGTGCCCTTATTTTCCATTCCCAAACACACCAATAGATGTCTCATGGGAGCCATGGCACTGAAACGTCTAGCCTGTAATTGCTGGGTATCTGAGAGATCACCAAAATATCATTTTGACACTTGATACCTGGCAAAATATTTTTGAATCTGGATAGTTTACTGGTGGGAACTGTGGAAATGACTTTGCCGTGAGATAAAATGGTTTGAGTTGTAGCAGACTCCTACTGGCTTTCCTCTTCCATCTAGAGCAGTTCACCATCTGTCTCCATTCAAAGACAGTCTTGAATGAGGGAGCTGGGGAAGGACACAGACAGGAAATTCTTCCTATTTAACCCCAAATCCCTTAGGCTGAAGCTTAAGCTCAGTTTCTCAATTTGCATCTCATGGAGATGGAAAAAAGGCTTGCTGTGGCCCTATCTGACATGTAACTTGGTGAAGTTACCTCCCCATGTTCCCTCTATTAGGCTATATAATTCCTGTTGTGTTGGTGTTTTGGTTTGTCTTTAGAAATGCTGTTCATGGGATATATAGCATTAAAGAACGTAGACAGTATCATCTTCATTAGATGAAAATACTGAAAACTATTACAAAAGGTTATGTGCTTTGGCAGAGAGGATGGTCTGTTCTAAGTTTCTAGGAATACTTAAAAATAAATGAGGACCACTTTGTCATATTTCATCTTTATGCTACCATAATGCAGTCTACACTCCCAGAATGCAGTCTACACTCCCTGAAACCATGTTGACACCCTTATGCCTTTGTTTCACCTTTAAGGATTGCACTCGTGAGACCTTCAAATGATGATTAGCCTAGAACACATTGTTAGGTTTCTGGTTTTCTGTCAAGTAATCTAAGTTCATGCTCATAGCTTTGCTGCTGCCTGAATGGTTGTTCCTTAGTTGGATGCTGGTTTGGTGACTTCACTCAGAGGTGAAGCATCAGGGCAAGGAGTGGAGCCGGAATGACCAAGAAGGAAGGTGGCTTTTCATCCAGCCCCCCCCCCCCGTTCTTTTTGTCCACTTCTCTCCGAGGTAGGCATGGATGAGTAAGGCATGAAGCAACCAATAGTGACATTGATTTTAAATATCAAATTGGATGGGAATCCTGGAAATGAAAGTATCTTCTAAATCAAGTCAAGTATTCTGTTTAACTGGCCCAGTGTGTGTATGTTGGGAGGTGGGTAGGAGGAGGTGGGGGTGGTGGACTGAGAAACTTAAATTCAGGACTGATCGTATAATGAGGTGGACTGTAATGTTGCATCTAAGGTATGATTACAAAGTCCCCAAAAGGCCTTTATGGCAAAGAATGATCCTCATTAAGTAATTCTCTAAGGTCTAAAATGCTATTACTAGAAAGTCACTCCTCTGGTTTAAAGTTTTTCGTAAGAATGCGAATGTCCCTGAGAGAGCACATCATTCCCTTATTTCATTCCTTCCTTCCAGAGAGAGAAGGAGTATGTCCAGCACCAGATGAAGTGACTGTAGGTAGGAAGGGGCAGGAGTGCCCCCCAGGGAGGAAAACGGTGGGGGAAGGTAGGTAGAGGGTGGTGGAAATGGCAAACATGCTACGAAGACCTCACAATTTGTTCTAGGATAGTCGTGGCTTTAAATTAATTAAGTCTCAGTGCATATGGTCGTTGGTCATTTACAGGGAGGAAAACGGTGGGGGAAGGTAGGTAGAGGGTGGTGGAAATGGCAAACATGCTACGAAGACCTCACAATTTCTTCTAGGATAGTCGTGGCTTTAAATTAATTAAGTCTCAGTGCATATGGTCGTTGGTCATTTATGGTCAGGGACAAATCCCAAGGGCCCATGAGCTTTGAAGAGAGCTTGGCTTTGGCGTTGGGCAAAGCAATATTTGCATTTATCTCAATCCCTGGTACAGCTGTGTGACTCTGGGCAGTTAACATAACCTCTCTGTTCCAGGCTTTGATTTCCTCATCTGTAATCTGAAGGGACTGAAAAATACTTTGCAGGGTGTGTTATAAGCACCTCATGCACTATGAGTGCTCGAGACTGATGAGTGGCACATGGGAGACCCTCAACAAGCCCCTTCCTATGCATTTCACCCTCCCTTCTTCATATGTTTTAGAGTAGACGTCCACGATATGTCCTTTATCTTCACATACAAATGCTGCACAGGTGGTTACTGAGCTGACACACATAGTTTGATGGAACTTGGTTGTTGGCAAGAGGAGAACAGACATACTCCTGCATGGATGCACTTGCAAACTCTGATGGTTATGTGGATGAAATGACATTCATTAGATTTTGGCAACCAAGAGCATTTCCCCTTGACCTTCTTTACTTTTTCCTCTCTTTGGAGCCCACCTGCAAGCAAGGAAGGGTAAAGGAAAATTATAGAAGAGTAGCCACTATTGCTTTTCAAATGCCCAGAAGGTGATTGGTGTGCTGTCTTTAGAGTTTCCCAAACTCAAATTTTCCCAGAGAGCATGAGGTTCCTCACCTGTGATTTCCCGGTCATGAGTTTCCAGGAACCTCACATCTGGAGTTGGGAGGGAATACTTTGTGGATTTGGGTTGGTGCCCATAGCCTAACATCGTGCTTTTGTCTCCAAAATGGACATTCTTTCTTTAATGCTTTGAAAATCCTCAAATTCATACTTTTTTTTTTTTTTTTTTTTGTCTCTTGAATTTCTTGAAGGAGTTTTCTCCTTTTCTAAATGTTTTCCTCCAGAGGCAGTGGGACATTTTGGGGAGGATGAATGGTATATGTCACAATCATCTGTATTTATTCCATTCAGAATTTTCATTGCGTATTAAAATCAAATACTAACCAATGTATGTGTCATCATGAAACATTCTTCTTTCCCTTTCTTCTACCATGAGATTCCATGAGTTTTTTTAAGGTGGCTTTCTTCTTTCTTGAGAGTGAATGCATTTTTCTTAATGTTACTAAGTGTAAAGTTTTTTTAAGGTGGCTTTCTTCTTTCTTGAGAGTGCCTTGCATCATCACATAGTAGGTTTTGAGTTTTTTTAAGGTGGCTTTCTTCTTTCTTGAGAGTGCCTTGCATCATCACATAGTAGGTTTTAGATCCAAGGTTGCCCACAATGTATTTGACTGTTGAAATATGTAGCATATATTTACATTGTGTTGCGTTACAATATCAGATATAGTGAGCTGAGAGGTTTTGTCTGACAAAATGTTATGTTTTATTTTGGTAATTTTGAAAATCAAGAATCTTTTTGGAACCTCATAATTTAAGTTAAAAATGTAATTGGTATTCTTAATAACTTGTTTTTCTTCTGGAACAAAATATGGAAACACTTAAGTTAGGTATATGCAGCTAAAACTAGAGTTTTACCTCCCTTTGAAGCTGTTGACCGTCTTTGTTTGTTTTCTTTGTGGAAATGAATGTGTCTTTTATCTCACTTTGAATATAATGGATGTTCTTCCTAATCATGATCGTTTTGTGTTATGCTTCTTGGAAGTGTTTTAAAGATTCTCCAACTGTATCATACAAAACAAGAACTTATTTAATATATGAATGCCTCTAGAGAATATGTCAAATTACTAATTTGTTTTCCTTGCACTAGCAAGGCAATGTAATCAGTCCAGAAAATGCCTAGAGTTTATTTTGATTTGTTTCACTTTTGGTTTAAATTCACCACCCATCGTTATCCAAAGCACACAAAAGCTTGTGGGTTTGGTGTATTTGTTTTGCTGTCACACTGTAACGATGGCAAACATGACTCTACAAAGGTCTTTAGGATCAGACAGATTAAATGTCATTTACTTTTCCGCTAACGGTATCAGAGAACATTAAAAAAATCATTTTCCCAATCTGCCATTACCACACGTTGATAGTTGCGCTGTTTGCATAGTTGACCACCCACTGAAGCCAAGGCACGTGAAACTGCTGTCCACTAAAATGGGCCTGAAAGTCACATGGGACCCACCCAAAGATGCTACCAGTAGACCCGTGGAGCATTACAACATTGCCTATGGGAAGTCACTGAAAAGTCTTAAGTACATCAAGGTGAATGCGGAGACATACTCCTTCCTTATTGAGGATGTGGGTAAGTGGCACTATGACCTTGTTCCCAGTCAGAGTTAACTGTGCATGAGCATTCTCAGAATGACTATTTGTGAGACAAAATATGGCTGGGCTCAAAGTACTTTGTGGTTCTTTGGGAACGGGTGGCCGAGTTCTGAGGCTCTAGTCCTGAAGCTGCTGCTTAACAGCCTCCATCTTGCCCCTGGGCTTCCCCACCCGCTGCCTTTGAACTCAAGTATTCCTTTCTCCAAATAGATGTTGCAAACAATTTTTAGCTTCTGAATGTGCATTTGGAAAATATATTGATCCTTTTATGTTTCATAGAAACTTGACTACTACACAGTTTAGTAGCTTAAGCTAGAGACTTCTAATTTATAAACCACTTTATCATTTGGGATTACTCAAGTAATATGTTCCTGTAAAACTGTGTGTAATATGTCACGCTTAGCCACATCTAGCTGAAGATGTAACATTTCTCCCCATTTAAATATGATTTTAATTTGATTCTCGAAGTTTAGAATATTTCAAATCTTGCTTCCATATGTATTGACTCATAAGTGCAGATGTAGGTGGTTTTGGGCTAAGGCTTTGAGCTGCCTCCTCTGGATCTGTCTTCTACTTTTTGATTCTAGTAGCTTGAAACGCCATCGATTCTACCATCAGGTCGAGGTCCAACTTTAAGATGGATCCTAAGGAAGGAACAAGTCAGCATATAGAAAACTAGGTCTCCCCCATGCCATGTCAGCATCATGCTCCTCAGTGTTGGTCCCCTGGCCATAGCCTACACACTTGCTCCTTCTCCACCTCCTGCGTTGTAACATTACGCTTTCAGGACAATGGAGCAGAAAGTGTATAAAAGGGAGATAAAGGTCAGATTCCCTTCCTCGTGGCTTCAGCTAAATGCACATTTCCCCAAATCTCTTCCGCATCACGATGGCCCCCCAAATCCGACTGTGAGAGATTCCATCAGACCGAAGGCATGAGCAGGGTTGTGTTGCTTCTCAAACCTTGGGTTGTTAGGATTGCTGCAGAGAAGAAAAACATGTGAAAAGACAGCTGTAGAACTTACTAAAAAGGAAATAGTGTCTCTCAAGTAACTTTTTGATGAGTTAGCTGTAGGGGATTCAGAGACATGTGGATTACATTTCTTTGAAGTACAAATAAGCTCAGAATGAAGAGAGACCGTGCCTGGCAAAGCCTGATTCTGCATTCTATCAGAACCTCCAGCATTTCCCAGTTAGTCCGGCAGGTCGTGCCAAACCCTAAATGCCACCAGGCTCTTCCATAGTCAGACAGATGTCACCCCCATCTTGAGCACAGCAGGCATCCCAGATGGCTGTTCCTGGGCCTCTGGCTTGAGAACTGAGTGAAGTTTTGTTAAAGGAACAGTCCTCTCTTTGAGAAATGTAATTACTATTATTACCTTTGACAGAACTAACTCTTACATTTCTCCAACCCTTTGTCCCCTGAAATGCCCACAAACTTTTATGTCTTCAAGGAGTTGGCCCCTCCACTTACCTGTCGTGAGATAATAATTCACTATGAGGAAAACCAGCACTACTGGGCTTCTACTTTCTTAGCTACCAGTTTAGAGTCCGTGCCCTTTGTAACATGGTGTGTTGGTTTCCTTTTGCATCCCAACGACTTTAGGAGCTCAGCTAATGAGACCTCTGCCATTTGACCTTGACCCCTAGACAAAAGTTTAAAAATGAAGCCTGAATATTTCCAGATTAGCATTTCCAAGATCCCAGGAAGTACTTTTTCTAGCTTTTTGTTGCAATGGTCAAAAATAACCCACAGACATAGTAAGAGGAACATTTTATTGTGAAAAAGAGAAAATTTTATGAAGCTTTATGTATTGCAATGAAGACTTCCCATGTGCTAAATTTTGTTACATTAACATTTCTTATTTTCTGGAGATTTCCATTTGGAGCTTCTATGAGGAAATATTATTTTTAGTTACTGACACTGTATATACAAACGTCTATTTAGTGGATAGTATGTTCCTATTTCCTATATTGATTTCAGATTAAAAACCTTAGAAGCTCTTTTGGTTGGCTGCTAATGAATCCATGTTTATTACACATGCCATGTACTTTGTGCTAAATAAAGTTTGTGTTTTTTGGGTCGGGTATGTTTCAGTTGAATGAGATGAATGTTAGGGATTTTAATAAAAGAAAAGAGAAAGCTATTGTTAGACTTGTCACTTAATTCAGATTTTTATTTTTGGTTATAACTTGTATAAGGAAGACAGTTAGTGAATCAGACTGTGTCATTCTTGGAGATTTGAAATGGTGGCTTGATACAAACCATATATTTCAGAGCCGGGGGTAGTGTACTTTGTGCTGGTTACTGCAGAAAATCACAGTGGAGTGAGCCGTCCAGTTTACAGAGCTGAGAGCCTGCCTGGTAAGTCTTATCTAGAATTGGAGGCTGTAGTTTTGTTACCTAGATTGTGAGAGACAATCTTTGCTTTTTCAAGTCGATATAAATTTAGAATTTTTAAGGAATTCCTTAATAAGAACTTCTTAGACTTGCATAGCAAGCTGAAAGATTGAAAAGGAGGAGAGACTTGTCACTTCTTTTAAAGTAGTTTTAATGTCAGTTGTTAGTATTTTGTCTGAACTTTTTGAATACTCATTAGAGTAAGCCATATGCAAAAGACCGAGAATATGAATTGTCTGTAAAGCTTAGGTGCTGAGTCACTAATATGGCCTGAGCAAATCGTTTTGAAGACTGTTGAAAAGATCGTTTAATATACATTAGGGATGGACTGAGATGTGGAAAATCCAATAGTCCCTTCTAACTATCAAGTTGCATTTCCCTAATTTAGGAGGTGAATGGATCAAGATTGATGGTTTTCCCATCAAGGGTCCAGGACCATTTAATGAAACCGTCACAGGTACTTCCTGCTCATTTGGTTTGTGTCTTCACTGAAGCAACATCTCGCAAGAGGGTTGTGCTTCTGTCACACACATGTGCTCACAAACCTTCATTTAGTTCCCATCGTTAAACTAACACACATGCCACACGGTCTCGGTCAGTCTTTTCTGCACCTGATGGACGAGACTGTGGCCGGTGTTGCTCATTGTTCACTGTTCCTCCATGTTCTTGTGTGGGGAAGTGTCTACGTCTGCATCCGGGGATACTGTCGCCCTGTTAACAGGCAAATATGGTGGTTGAGATGGCAGTACTGGCCCGATTAGGATATTTACAGCTCTTTTACCTGTGAATGGCAGAAATGAGTGGGACTCACAAAACAGTGGCTTTGATTGGCTAATATGTTGAATCAAGTCTTGGTCTCTTTTCTTACAATGTTGGGATACTTGGTGATATATTAGATAACCTGCCTTCCATCTCTGCTCCATATTTGTATATGTGTGTGTTTTATCATTTGGATGTTGACGTTGTCTGGTCATATTGTTTTGGTTACTGAGAGAAGTGTTAACATTTCTTGTGTGTTTCTTGAATCTATTTAATTAATGGTGAAAAAATAATGCAAAATGAATGCGGTTATCTCAGAGTGTGGTTGGGTAATATCCCAAAGGTGATATGGCGAGGAGGAACTATGTTTTATTTTCATGTACCATGTGTTTAAATACATCAGTCTGGTGTTGTTGAGTGGAAGGTGAGTATGTTTTAACCAGTGACCATAATCTGGCTCTCAGATCGGATTTGATGGGTGTAGGCAGTTTTCAAAGTCCCCTTTGGGTGAAAAGGAGTGGGAGAACAAAACAACCCCAAAGGAAACTGGCTTGTGGGGAGAGGTGATATGTTCTTATCCAGATATGTTGGACTTGAGGTGATCATGGGGCGTTGCAATGAAAATTTCTTGTAGGTGGTTGGATATAATGGAATGAAAGCTGGAAAAGGGAAGTAAGGGCTAGACACGGATCTCAGAGTCATGCTCTAGAGGGAGAGTCAAAGTAGAGAGAGAGCACGAGTGGTTGAGGAATGGGAGACAGAAGAGCCGGAGCCCAGATCAATCCCTGGAAAGCAGTGATAGGAAGTCAAGAAGTTACTACACCTAGGAAGCATGGAAAATAGGAAAGGATGCTTATTTCAGAGGTTGTTTACTACTGAAGACACACATGTAAATAGTCACATGTACACTTTTTTCGGATGGATATTTGTGCCTTGTATTTGAATCTTATATTTTGAATGACCATTTTATCTTTATAATCTTCCTGATAAAGTTTTCTTAATGACAGTAATTTTAGAACAAGGAATTTTCTTTCTTTCTTTTTTTTTTTTTGGTAAGTAATTAAATTCTTATGCCTTCTTTAATAGAAATGTGTGTTTGGAGATAAACCATCCTCCAACTCACTATTGGTTTTATAATACTGTGAGATTATTTAATCAGCCTCTGCAGGAGCCTTTGTAGGCCTGGTTGCCAAAGTGCTCCTCTATCATACATCTATTCGTCATACATTGTGATAGAAAAGACACTAGAAACCACTTGCAGCATATGGTATAAAGCAGAACTTAAAAAAAACCCCAAGAATATTCAAAATGCTTAGACTTGGTTAATGAACTCTAGGAAAACAATTACATTTCACTATTAATAAAAATAATAATAATTTATGAGAAATTGTTAATAAGTGATCAATAGACATCTATACCTTTTTAAGGGATGTGGAAAATATGCTATGCTATTGTTCTGAGAAATGGTTAAATGCATGACAATTCTGTCAAACCAATAAGTGATCAATAGACATCTATACCTTTTTAAGGGACGTGGAAAATATGCTATGCTATTGTTCTGAGAAATGGTTAAATGCATGACAATTCTGTCAAACAAAAGAAGTATTCAGGATTCCACATGTCTTCATTCAAAGAAAGGGATTTGTCCTAAAAAATGCAACATTAGCATTGGCTCCTGGTATAAGGCCCCAGGGGCTTGCTTTAGTGCTTTCACTGATAGCATCTCATGTTCTTCCAGTGTTTTATTTGAATCCAGAGGAAAATCCATTCTTTTATTCTGCTGAAAAGAATGGTTTCAGTTCAAATTCTAGAAGGCTTCCTTTTGCTGGCTTAGACCTCTCTCCACCAAATTGTCTTTATCTACGAATAGGACTTTAATGACTTAACTTACTTATTCCAGGCACAGGTCTAGATGCTAGAGATACAATGGTGAATAAGGTAAGCAAGGGCTTTTCTTAGAGAAACTTATATTCTAATGGGAAAGAAAGGCAATAAACAAGCAAGTGAGAAATAATGGATATAATCCATTAGTTTTCTAGGGCTGCCATAACAAAACACCACAGACCGGGGTACTTAAACAGCAGAAATTTATTTCTCGTGGTTCTAGAGTCTAGAAGTCTAAGATCGAGGTGCCAGCAGGGTTAGTCTCTCGTGAGGCCTCACTCATTGGCTTGCAGACAGCCACCTTCCTGCTGTGTCCTCCCACGGCCTTTGCTCTGTGAGCACGCATCCCTGGTGTGTCTTTGTGTGTGCAAGCTTTCTCTTTTTATAAGGACACCAGTCAGATTGTAGAAGAGCCCATCCTAATGGCATCATTTTAACTTAATTACCTCTTTAAAGACCCCATCACCAAATACAGTGACATTCTGACGTACTGGAGTTAGGTACTGAATTTGGGGGGGGGCACAATACAGCCCATAATGTAATCACAGTTATTTGAAAAATAAACGACACTGTAATATAGAATAAGCAGAGGGGGGCCCAGGGGTTGGGAGCCTGGGAGGCCCTGAGAGCATGGTGGCACCAAGCTGGGACCATACAGAGACTGTCAGGGTGAAGCTACGGGAGGAGGAGGAAGAACGTGCCTGCGAGTCCCGGAGGTTGAGAAGGACTTAATTGACTCTCAGGCTGGTCACTTGACCAAGTATGAAAACTCCCACGACTCAGAAAACGAAAGGACTAAGCAGAGGTGCAGCTCCAGGCAGAAGTTTGGGCTTCCTCTTCGGCAGCCCCTCTCACATCCCTCAGTCTCAAAGTCTTCCTTGTATTTAATGTAGAATCCCTCTGAGTCAGGGTGTAAACCTGTATCCTCCTGTTCTGTCCCACGGAAGAGAGGTCACAAGTCCATTCACTTATTGGAATACTGCTGATTAGCTTTTCTGCAGACTTCTTTTCTGCGAGTTGTTTTAGCTGTTTTCTGTGACTGGGTCTGGGGAAACCTGGCTGTGCGGAGCCGGACCCTGGGGGTCAGGACAGAGACACATCCCAACTCTGGTACCAGCCGGCCCAGGAACTGTGCTAGGCCAGCTAGTCTGCTTTCGCCAAGCTCTTTATCTGGGCAACAGTATTAGAATCTGATTAATTTTAGCTCTGAACATGATCATGTCTATTTTTAGTAATTTTTATGGTTTTCTAAAAATCTAGTCCTCTGTGCTTTCCTCACATCTTTTAGCTGTGGTGCCTAAACTAGACATAGTACTGAATTAAAAGTCTGATTTGTGCCTCTTATTTTCTTTACATTCTATTTTAGTTCATGAAGCTTGCTCATTTTTGACAGTTAAATAGTAGCATGGACTGAAGTTTAGCACAGAATTCACAATGACTCCTTGGCCAATTCCAGCAGGTTATTCACCTGTGGCCCAGCCATTCCCTTCCTTATTACAGCCACCCACCGACCTCCAGGTCGCTCCCTAAATCTGATGGCCTCTATGCACCTGGCTAACTTGTGTGTCTCCACACCAGGCTTCATGGACGACACACCTCCATGATGATGGCCCACCAGGTGTGCCCACCTCATGGTCTCTAACTGCCGCCTCCTCTCATAGAGTTCGGGTTAGAGATAGGGTTGCTCCCTTCCAAAATCTAGAATTATGAAATTCCCCTCTCTGACGAAGTCATCTCACTTCCTCGACGCCCTCATTGTCATGAGCTTGCTTTCAGGCCCTGACAGGCTCTGGGTCTGTAGACCCTTCCCATCTGCAGAGCCCAGAGCCGCCCCTGCTCCTTCCTCTTCATAACTGTCCTGTCGTTGTGGCCACACTCACGCTTGCCAGTTCCCCTGTCCTTCGACTGCCTCCCTGGCTTGCTGGTTGTTCTGCTGGGACCACTCCATCTGGCTGCTTTTCCTCTCTGGGTGCCAATGGCTGAGTCTGTGGGAGAAATAAAGAGCTGAGTAGACAGGTAGATTTTCTTGCCAGTTTCTTTATTTAAATATGACTGATGTAGAAGTTGAAAACTCTAAAGCTAGAGTTTTTGAGATGGCTCTTTACCTAGTCTATTGATTTAAGAGCATGGTTAATCCACCCAACCCTAATCTTTATACTGTTCACCTCTGAATACCTGGCTTGGCCTCCAGGCTCAGGCCCTGACGAGCAGCTGTCAGCAAGCACTGTCCTCTCAGTGCCTCAGAATTCTCAGCAGTGAAATGATGGGATTCAACAGGAAAGTGCCAGGCTCCTTTCTAAGAACTTTCTCAGGTTCTGAGTTTCTTTCTAAGGTTTTAAGATTCCTTTCAGCTCTGAAATTTTGTGAATCTAAGACACTAAGTAGACCAATTTCACTACTTTTAACGAATGGTACTAAGATTTGTGAGCAGTTGAGAACCATTTGTAATACTGAAAAATGGCTATTTTCCTATTTCTCTACCCTCCTTTGAATGTTTTAGATTAGCACACCCCCAAATCATATTGGCAAAGGAAGGAGCACTGAATCGTGGTTTCTGTGTGCTGAGTTTGTAGCTGAACACCCAGCAGGAGCACAGCATAAAGACCTGTCTCCAGCGGCACATTCAGAAGTCCCGCTCCCTAGGGTCCCCTTGTCTGTGCTGTCCTTCCTTTGTGTACTTGCAGTGGCAGGAACTCTGCCAACAGGTCAGGGGAGTTTGCCATGTCAATGTGTGTCATTGTCACTCTGGGAAAAGGTGCCAGCACAGTAAGCCAATAGGCAAATCATGTTCAGTAGTGCAGTTTCAGGGGCTTC